GGTTTTGAGTAATGAACAAGGCTGGGAGTTTTTAAAAGCCTCAGGAATCTTTTGCAGGTGTTTAGAGTTACGTCGTTGATTCTGATGGTTAGGTTAATAGCTTGTTTAGAGAACCTTTCATGATATGCTAATTTTTTGGGAAGGGCATTTTGGGTTTTCATGAGCTGTATGCCATAATCATCAGTATTAAAACAATTAAAGACCTGAAATATTTCAGTTGGTGTGCAATGAATCTGAAATATATGAAAGTTTCATTTTTATCATTACATTATGGAAAATAATGACCTTTATCACAATATGCTCATTTTTTGAGAAGGACCTGTATGCCGTACGCTCAGGAGTAGGAGCAGAATTTTTTTATTTAACACATTTTAAAATCGATTTATGGGCCTTTTGAATCGATTCAGAATCGACAGAACTAAGAATCTAGATTCTTTTAAAACAATCACATTTTTTCTGCACCCCTAGTTAGAAAGACATCTCTACTCCGCAGGTGTTTAGCAGGTGCGTGGAAGCAGCGCTGCGTGAGAATCCTCTCGTATATAGACGATGATCTGATATGTTCTCGCACGTGGGCACAAGCAATCTGCCACTCCCAGGCAGGAATAAAACATTTAACAGACCTGGGATTTAGAGTAAACTGGACAAAGAGCTGCTTAGTACCCAAACAAAGTACAGAATATTTGAGTCTCAAAATAGACTCCCTCTCATCACGTGACACTGTCAGAGGAGGATCACATCCTTCTCCCAGTGCATCGCGAGCTTCCAGCTGGGGAGAGTCATTTCATTCAGACGTTGTCTGCGCCTGCTCGTGCAAATGGCCTCAGTAATTACGGTGGTAAAACTTGTATGGGTCTTCTAATGAGGGATTTTCAAAGATGGCTCGCATCGCTGAGTTTATGCCCCCACCGCCATTTACATCACAGAGTGAAAGTATCTGCAACATGTATGATGGCTCTGCATCCATGGAGGGACCCAGTGGTTTTTAGCACTGGGGTTCAGCTAGGAGCAGTAACATCCAGGGTCACCATCACAACAGATGCATCCCTGAGAGGATGGGGGGCCACGATGAAGGGCAGAGCAGTGAACGGGTGTGGTCTCAGAAAATGTCACGCTTCCACATAAATGTGCTGGAGCTGCAGGCAGTTTTTCTAGCTTTAAAGCATTTTCTACCCCATCTAAAGGACCGTCATGTCTTAGTGAAGACGGACAACTCAACGGTGGTTGCTGACATCAACCGTCAGGGCGGGACACGATCCCAGCAGCTGCACAGACTGGCCCGAGAGTTCATCTTATGGAGCAGCACCAGACTCCCGTCAGTCCGAGCAACTCATGCGGCAGGGATCCTGATGAGAGGAGCAGATCTGTTGTCCAGGGGCAACCCCCTGTATGAGGAGTGGCAGCTCCACCCTCAGGTGGTGGAGCAGACCAGGCAGAGATGTGGCAGGCACGCCGTAGATCTCTTCGCCTCATGGGAAATCACCCATTATTTAAACTATCATCCAAATGGGTCGCTTTTATTTCTTTTATACAAATGTAATTTGGCATATTTTCAAAATAAACATTTTGTAAGTCTTTATTTTGGCCTTTTTCGTACCGAAAATGAACTGAACTGAGCCCTGCTTGAAACTGAACCGAACCGAAATGTGATTTTAGCGTACCGTTACACCCCTAGTAGTTAGCATCGAAGCTAACATGTTAGCTGGTGAAGTGTCACTCTGTCGCCACAGCCACTAATGAGACACAGACACACTTGTCTTCTCAGCTGTAAAAAGACCTCTTCCTCCCAGGCCCTGTCAACTCACGTTTTCTGCCATTTTAACCTCTGGGAGGTAAAACTAGCTTGTAGCTGCACCGCTGCAGAGATGGGAGTGACCTATGCATGATTCTGAACTTTGACCCCAGACAAGATTGATAAATTGTATACGTAAAACTATTTATTTTTACATTATTAATTATTTTCATTTCAAATATACATCCTTGCAAATGTTATTTCTTAAATTTAAAAATATAATTAATGATGATTTTTAGGTGTTGCTCCTTGATCATGAGAACTATTTTTAGAACATGCCCCGTGGGCATCTCATGTGGTCCCTGCGGCCTACCAGGTGCCCACGGGCACTACGCTGGTGACCCCTGCCCTAGGGATAATAAAGATTGTTGAATTAGAACTTGTAAAATGCAGAACGGCATGTCAGTACTTTAAGGTTTGACATGTTTGTCCGTGTTGTAGCTGTGTTTTTCAGTCAGAGCATCTGAGCCGGAGTTTGACATTGTCTCTGAAGATGGAGATCAACAAGTCTAACAGGTGAGTCCTTTACGTATTTTGTACTTACTCTTGAGATCTGCCTCAACAAAACCATTATTAATGGGCAATTATAATATCAGAGTCAGAGTCAGAGTTTCTTTATTGTCATTCGCACCTCATGTGGTGGAGCGAAATTATGTACACAGGGTCCCAGTTACATCCAACAATAAAATGTATAAGAAAAACAGTAATAACATCTAAGATATGAACTAAGAAAAACATCAACTAAATATACACTAAGCACTCATAACATAAAACATTGAACATCAGCACAAACATGAACATGAGTCTGTGAGCAGATGTGCACGCATGAACACATCAACATTGAAACAGATCAGCAGCAACATGAAACAGATCAGCAGCAACATGAAACAGATCAGCAGCAACATGAAACAGATCAGCAGCAACATGATATGGTTTTTCACAGTGATTATTCTGGTTAGAGATTCATGAGTCTAACAGCCTCAGGGTAGAAGCTGTTCCTCAGTCTAGTGGTTCTACACTTAATGCTCCTTAACCTCCTTCCTGAGGGGAGTGGGGCAAAAAGTGTGTGTGCTGGGTGAGTGGGGTCCTTCATGATGCAGGTGGCCCTCTTCCTGCATCTGGAGGTGTAGATGTCTGTGATGGTGGGGAGACTGACTCCAACATCTTCTGTGCAGCCTTCACCACTCTCTGCAAAGCTTTTCTTTCTGCAGCTGTGCAGCCTCCATGCCACACGTTGATGCTCGAGCACGTACTAGTACACGTAGTACACAAGTACTAAAGTATAGCAATGTTTTATGGTTATAAAAACTTTTTCATTTTAATTTCAGTTTGTATACAGTAGTCCCTTGTTTTTTTTTTTTTGGGGGGGTGGGGGTGTTCTTCCGGACCACCCCTGCAATAAGTGAAAATCCATGAAGTAGCAACATTATATTTATTTTAGTGTTTATATATATTTCAAGGCTTTAGAAACCCTTCCCACACTCTTGCAATGTGGGAAGGGTTGCAGACTTTTGGTTGGCCGGTTCAAAACCATAGGTGGTCGAATTAGTCTAGGTCTGGATGAAAAAAGTCCTGATGGTCTAGAAAAACAGCGCCGGACCTACGGCGGGACATCTCCTCGCTTGGAAGTTTTCGTAGGCTGGCTACCAGCTCTCAAGATTCACCAAAGAGTCGGGAGGTCTGGGTCCAGTCCGGTGGGTTCCGTGCGGCTTCTCTGCATCTGCTAGGTGACGAAGTCGCTGTAATGAGCACCAAACAATCTCCAATCGGATCAAAACTTTCCCTCTAGTTTTTCAGCAGAAGGAAAAGGGGCTTCTGTGAAGGGCCCTGTTGCCTTCTGGGAAATGTGGTCATGATGAGTGGGAATGCAGCTGAGAGAAAACTGCAAACTGGCGGCGCCTGTCCGAAGTATTTTTTATTTTTCGTTAACAGTACAGTACTGTATCCAGTATTGTGCCAGTCACATGAGTAATATTAAAGTTGACAGTCGTGTCGTGTACAATTGTCCCCCTAATATTATGAACTGTTTGCTCAACAACCACGACAGAGCGAGTCCACGAAAGTCGAACCACAAAGTAGCGAGGGCCTACTGCATAGCTGTCAGGTCTCCTAACTTCAGTTTTGTTGAAATGAGTTGGTGTTTGAATAAAAGTCATAGGAACATGTTGGCGTGTTTTATCAGTGCCTGTAATGGTTTTAAGAAAAATACATTTTAATGGTGAACTCATCTTTATGCTATATAAATGCTAGGCTAAGTATTTTTAAGGCTTTATAACAGTATTTAATTTCAATACAGCATGGCAGCTGTGGCTGAGTGGTTAGAGCAGTCGTCCTCCAGTGCAAGAGTTGCCTCGCATACCGAAGTGTGTCTGGGCAAGACACTGAAACCCTCATGCTGCTGATCTCACGCTGCTGATCTCACGCTGCTGATCTCATGCTGCTGATCTCATGCTGCTGATCTCACGCTGCTGATCTCACGCTGCTGATCTGTTTCATGTTGCTGTGTTCATTTGCACTCATCTGCTCACACAGACTCATGTTCGTGCTGCTGTTTGGCGTGTTGTTTTTGTACTATTAGTTTTTAGTGTGTTCTTAGTTTTAGCATATTGATTAGTTCATATCTTAGATCTTATTACTGTTTGTCTTTTACAATTTACCAGTATACTTTTGTTGGATGTAACTGGGAGCACCCTGTGCACACAGTTTCGTTCCACCACATGTGGTGCAGTTGACAATAAGGAACGTTGACTTGATCAGACGAGCTCCTTCACTGACCAGTTTTAACTCTTAAAAACAGTTTTACTGCCTGCCTGTTACCACACACTGAATTTGCTCTGCACCGTTTTTATTGACCTTAATGTTTTAGCAACAGTTAAAAAAAAACTAGGGGGTGTGAATCTCTGTCTGGTGATTCGATTCTGATTTTTTTGTGTCACGATTCAATTCAAAAACTATTTTTCTATTGAAATGGTCGTAAATTTAGTTTCAATAATAATGCATATGTAACTGACGAGCTGAAAAGATTAAACAACAATGTAAACAAATGGAACATTTATTTAAAACAATAATTTTAGGTTGCTCACTGTATCAAATCTTTTTGCATCGTTTTTTATTTATACAAAAATAGAAACAAATACAGGAGTGCATAAAATTCTGTAACTTAAATTACCAGTATTAGGTTAGCTGCCTGGATTTTTATAAAGAATAAAATAAAAATCTAGGAACAAATAATTCATCCATCATCTTTATCCACTTCTTCCTTTACGAGTCACTGGTATCACTGGTATCACTGGTATCACTGGTATCACTGGTATCACTGGTGCCCATATCAGCCATCACTCTGTGGGGGACACCTGGACAGGTCTCCAGTCCATCACAGACAAATAATTCAAAATATATAAATATAAAAGTAAACAGACTTCATCCTACCATAGTACATTAACCTTTAACTCAACATGAAATACAGACTTCAGTCATTTTTAACCATATTGTTCTAACATTTGTTATATTTTCAAAACTTAACCTAACATGAAATATACAGACTTCAGTCTTAACCATATTGATTCATGTTTAGTAAATCTTTAACTAAATTTAAAAACCTGTGAAAACCTGCACAAAAACATCTGAACTATAATTTATAAACATAAACTGTCTCATTTAGAACTGGCTCCAGATGTGTCTCGTCTCTTCAACCTGTTCAAAAGATAAATTACATAAAGTTTGTTGAACAACTTGTCTGTAAGTTTTAGTTTAATATGAGAAATAACAGTTTCCTTTGAGCTGCAGCTGCATCAGAGCTTCTCCCATTTGTTGCTTCATGGTGAAGTTGTGGAGCTGCTTTATCGCAAAAAAAAAAAAGAAGAAGGAATAACGTACGTTGTCCATCGTATTAAAAATAAACCTGAACCTGTCACCTTCCACTGCTGGAGAGGGAACTCTTCCCAGCCTTTGGAGAAGCCTGGAAGTTTGTTGCAGCTGGTCGGCTGCTTCGCTTTCATCTTCCGCGCATTTTGTCGTATTTCCAAAATACTGTACCGTGATTTTATTTGACACTTGTTGTAAGCAACTGTGCTCTTGTTAATTTCTGTCTTCCCCCGGAACATTGTAGGATCTGACATGATGTTTAAAGATGGAGCGGGTTGAATCACGCTGTCCTCCTCCATGCTAGCAGCCTCCATTCAGATAAAGGGAGCTGGCTAACTAGCTTCCTGTACGGTGGCCTACACGGCTCAATTCTACGGCGGCCGAGCGGACACGTAATGCAATATGCCGTACGCTCATGAGCAGAAAAAATATAAAACTTAAACGAATTTACAAATCGATTTATGGGCCTTTAGAATTGATTCAGAATCGACAGAACTAAGAATCTAGATTCTTTAAAAAACAAAAATAATTTTGCACCCCTAGTTTAAACTTTAATGATTTTATGTGCGCAGCACTTTGTTGCAGCTGTGGTTTTATTAAAGGGCTTATAAAAAATGTATTATTATTATAAACAATTCAGTATCATTTTTTCTTTTACACTTAACGTTCCGTTGAGTCCAAACACCTCCACTTTTCTTGGACTCGTAACACATGAGGTAAAATTTTATTGATCCCGCAGGAAATTGCTAGCAGTTCGTTTCGACATACTTCTCTTTTTTCTGCAGCTCGTCCACGTCCCCACTACAAAAATGCTGGACAGGGTTCTCCAACAGAAAATCCTGGAAACATCTGAAGCGTGGAGATGAAAGCTGCAGTTCACCTACCAACATCAGAATCCCCACCCCACAACCACAGGGTCAGGAATGCTCGGGGGCTGACAGTTTATCATCATCATGTGGCTCCCCGTCGGGCACAGGATCTCACCGCAGGATCATTCATTTTGACCAGAACTCATCCTCTGACCTTAAAAGTCCAGATGTGGTTCTTGAGGAGCTTTTAGATGAGGAACAAGAGCACGGTGTGTGTCATATATCCCTAATGATGTTTGGCTTCAAAGGATTGTACTGAGGAGAAAAATGGACGTTTACTTTTCTTGTTTTAAATACTTTAAATCTTTTTCAGGTCTTCCTCTCACTGGTCCTGAATTGGCCAATGAGAAATGGAGAAAACATAGAAAGAAAAATGTCTTGCCTCTCTACAAAAGAAATGGTAGGAGGAGGTTTACTGATGACTTGTAAAATATAAATCATCATTCAACACTTAAAACGCAGTCTTAATCTTTTTCTTTATCTTTTTTTACTGTGTTCTTTAAAATCATCTGCTGTGTGTTTTATGTGTCCCTCTTCCACCCCCTCTACTTCTTAGTGACCCAGTGGGTTCTGGTAACCCATGTTGTGAACCCAAGGCACTTCTACGTCCGCTACGTGGCTGAGAAGAGGGAAGGCGAGATCCTTTCCAAGAAGATGGATGAACTGTGCAGTAGAGATGGTGGCTGCTTCACACAGAAAGATGCAGTGGAAATTGGTGTGTGCGTGCACGTGCACGTTGATGGATGTGTTTTTTAAGAAAATGAGTTTGTTTTTAGACTTTTAGCACTTCATCCTTTCACAAATAATAATTCAATGAAAGCTTTTTTCTTAATACCATTTAAGTTAATTTAAACTTTACTAGTTTTAGTGACTAAATCTTTATTTTAATGGTGCTGTCTTTATGATTAGAAAACTTATTTTATTTACAAAGGAAACATTTTCTCCATAACGACAGACTGACCAAGCAAATGTTGATTTTATGCAACATTTCACTTCATTGGAGAATGCAGCATGGATTATGTAAATGCTAGCAAACTAAAAATGTGTTAATATATGCTGACTTGATTCTGTTTCTGTGCAGGCAACCTCATCTTTGTGATGTATGACGGGCTGTGGTGTCGTACCAGAGTGTCTGAAGTCTTTCAGAAAGGCTGTCCAGAGGCTGTGAAAGCATGTCCAGTCACCCAGCTGGCCAGTCTGCGAGTCTTCTTCCCAGATTATGGCTTCACCAAAAGCATCACGTTACAAAAGTACAAACTCACGAATAAAGTTTTATGTATGAGAAGGAAAAACATAAATTCCTGTTATGCCCTTTATGCAGTAGCACTTACTTTAAGGCAGCTGCGGCTGAGTGACTCCAATGGGAGAGTTGGTGGTTCAATTCCACCAGCAGTCACATGTCGAAGTGTCCCTGGGCAAGACACTGAACCCCTTATTGCCTCTGATGTGTGTCCCATCAGTGTATGAATGTGATCTAGAGCACTGATTATCTTTGTGCCTCATTTACCCGTTCATACAGCACTCTACTAGATCTTTACAGATTGTTGTAAAAAGCTTTGATTGTCTTGATAAAATAGAAAGGTGCTATATAAGTACAGTCCATTTACTTACATTTGGTTGCAAAATTACCCAACCCCCTGATGTCTTACAGCCTGGACTGTAAAAGGCAAATTTTTATGTAACGTTATGATTTTACTCAAAATAATCCAGGTAGAGGTTAAATAGATACGCGTTTGAAATTTTAATATGAAACTGTAAAGTTGTTCTTCTGTTTGTGTTTACTCCCTTTGCTTTGAAGCCACGTAGGGTCAGTGAGTTCAGTGTGTAGGCCTGCTATGATTGCCCTTAAAGTCAGCAGCAGTTCAACACCTCTTAGTGTTACCACCAAGCAACTGACAGCATAAAGATCAAGACAGTCAACAAACCGGTCAGAGACAAAGCTGTAGAAAAACATACAGATCAGGGCTGTGTGATAAACATATCCCAAACTCTTAGTTTACCATAGAGAAAAGAGAAAATCCATTCTTAAATTAAAATAAATTTAAGAAATCAAAGATTATATCACAACAATGAGTGCTGATCACCAATTGATCACCACCTGGTTGTGAATTGGATCAGATGGCGGGGGAAGATACCGGACAGACCTGGTAGACCCAAACGTGGAGTGAGGATTTGCTGGGAATGCCTGGCAGAAGAACCCGTCAGAGATCTTCAGCTCACACCTCCAGGAGAGCTTTAACCACATCCCAGTTGAGGCAGGGGACATTAGCTATGTTTACATGCGCAGAATTCTTTGACCGGATTGAAATGTGTTCTGTTTGAATAATTCAAATGTATTGTTTACATGGGCACAATCTGTTCATGATGAGCGTTTACATGCAGCGGGCTTTGTTCTGAACAGCAGTACTGACATGTGCAGAGTGGTAAACTCTCCTTAAAAAAACACAGAAGAAGAAGTTCAACTTCCGGGTGAACGTAAACAAACCTGAACACCCAAAATGGACCCGCGACAGGTTTTAATGATGGTGGAGACGTTACTGCACTCCCTGACTGAGCTGCAGGTAATACAGATCATTTTGAGCTCTTTAAAAGTTTCTAGTAGAAATGTTGTGTCGCTCACCGACCAGTTTTACTTCCCTGACATGCTAATATTATTAGCGTTAGCCAGGCGGAAATGGCAAAGTCGCACATGCGCAGTCAGGTCAGTTTTTCACGATCAGATAAAAACGAACAGATCAAGCGTTTACATGCGCACCGATCGGGTTACAGATCGGCGTAAACCACCCGTTTCGTTCTGATCACAAATTATATCGGATCGCGCCGAATACACAAAAAATAACCCGAACGAAGTGTTTACATGACACACTTTTATTCCGACCGGCCATTTGATCCGGTTACTTATGTTCATGTAAACATACCCACTGAGTCAGAGCGGGCCATGTTCCGCACCTCAATTGTTGAAGTTTCTGCCTTGAACTGTGACCGCATGGTTATCTGTGCTTCTCGTGGTGGCCATCCATGAGCTTGGTAGTGAACACCCAGGGTTAGGGAGGCTGTCAAGCTGAAGAAAGAGTCCTATCAGTCCTTGCTGGCTGGGACTCCGGAGGCAGCTGAGAAGTTCCAAAGGGCTAAGCGGTCTGCAGCCTTGGCTGTTGCTGAGACAAAAGCTCAGATGTGGAAAGAGTTCAGTGAGGCCTTGGTTAGAGGCTGTTGGTTGGCTCCAATGAGATTCTGGCAAACCATCAGGCAGCTGAGGAGGAGAAAACAGCTCTTTACTAACACTGTGCTCAGTGAAAGTGGGGTGCTGTTGACCTCAACCAGTGATGTTGTCAGGAGGTGGAAGGAATACTTCTCTGACCTTAATCCCACCAGCATGTCTTCCATGGAGGAAGCTGAGTCGGTAGACTTTGGGTTTTGTCTTAACATAACAGTGGCTGAGTTGCCGAGGTAGTTAAAAAGCTCTGCATTGGCAAGGCTTTGGGGGTGGATGAGATTCGCCCTGATTTCCTTAAGGCTCTGGATGTTGTAGAGCTGTCTTGGTTGACACACCTTTGCAACATTGCATGGACATTGGGAGCAGTGTCACTGGATTGGCAGACTGTTGTTCAAATCTAAGTGGTGGTGGTTCCCCTCTTCAAAAAGAAGGACTGGAGGGTGTGCTCCAGTTATAGAGGTATCACTCTCTTTAGCCTCCCTGGTAAGGTCTATTCAGGGGTACTAGACAAGCAAATCCCATCATTGGTCTAACCTCAGATCCAAGAAGAACAATATGGGTTCTGTCCTGGCTGTGGAACACTGGACTCTTTACTGGAGCTCTTTACCCTCACTAGGGTCCTCGAGGTATCATGGGAGTTTGCCCATCCATTGTACATGTAGTTTGTGGACTTGGAGAAGGCATTCGAATGTGCTCCTCATGGTACACTGTGGGAGGTGCTCCGTGAGTATGGGACTGGGGACCCGTTGTTATGGGCTGTTTGTTTCTTATTCAAGCGTTGCAAGAGTTTGGTTTGCATAGCCTGTAGTAAGTCGGACCCCTTAAGGGTGGGAGTTGAACTCCGCCAGGGCTGCCCATTGTCACAGTTCTGTTCATAACTTTTGCGGAGAGAATTTCTCTGTGTAGCCAGGGGAAGGAGGGATCCCGGTTCAGTGGCCTAAGGATTCCATCTTTCTTTACTCTTTGCAGATGATGTGGTCCTGTTGGCGTCATTGTTCTGTGATCTTCAGCTCTCACTGCTGAGTGTGAAGTGGCTGGGAGGAGTTTTAGCACCTCCAAATCTGAGGCCATGGTCCTCAGTCAGAAAAGGGTGGATTGCTCTCTTTAGGTCCAGGGTGAGGTTCTGCCTCAAGTGAAGGAGTTAATGTATCTCGGGATTTGTTCAAGAGTGAGAAGAATGGAGGCTGAGATTGACAGACGGATTGGTGCAGCATCTGCAGTATTGTGAACTCTGTACCGGTCCGTTTTGGTGGAAGAGGGAGCTGAGCTGTAAGACAAAGCTCTCGGTTTACGGGTCGGTCTACGTTCCTACCCTCACCTATGGTCATAAGCTCTGGGTAGTGACCGAGAGAATGAGATCTTGGATACAGGTGGTTAAAATCAATTTCTTCTGCACAGTAGCTGAACTCTCCCTTAGAGATAGGGTGAGAATTTGTTATTTGGGAGAGACACTGAGTAGAACCGCTACTCCTCCACATCAAGAGGAGCCAGTTGAGGTGATTCAGGCATCTGGTAAGGATGCTCCTTTAGCGCCTCCCTAAAAAGGTGCTTCGGGCATGTCTGACTGGGAGGAGATCCCGGGGAAGACCCAGGCTCCATCCAGACACTGGAGAGACTGTCTTTCGTTTGGCCTGGGAACGCCTTGGAATCCTCTCTGAAGAACTGGAACAGGTGGGTTTTCAAAGAGATGTCTGGACTTCCCTGTTCAAGCTGTTGCCCCCACGACCCGACTTCGAAACAAGTGGAAGATAATGGATGGATGGATGAAAGAATACATCACAACAGTAAGCCTGCCAAAATACAAGTCACCCACGGATCATACGTGTACGGCATTAATTATACAAGCAGCCAGTGGGCCAAAAAGAACCCTGATGGAGCTGAGCAGCTGCTTTGCAGAGGTCGGGGTGTCTGTCCATGCAGTCACTATGCTGCACAGAGCTTGGTTTTATGAATTTGAGGCCAGGAAAAAGCCATTGATTAAAAAGAAAAAGTGGTATTGAAGACTCCTAAAATATGTGGAAGAAGGTGTTGTAGTAAGATAACACCAGCCTTTTGGCTGTTATGGAAGGCACCAACTCTGGTACGAACATCTTTTTTTCATGCTGAGAACACCATCCCTACAGTGAAACAGTGGTCGCAGCATCATGCTGTGGGGACATGTTTTACTAGTAGGGATGGAAAACTGGTCAGAGTTTATTGAAAACGGATGCATTAGAATTCTAATTCTTGGGGTAAATGCGTTTGCAACCCACTTTAAAAATGCAAAATCCTTCTTGTTTTCTTGTTTTTTGTGTATGATACTCTTAAACAATCTTGTATTTTTGTCACTTTTTTACAGTGTGGATGTCACAGCTGAGTCTACACTGAAGTCTGTGAACAACCATCTGAGGAAAGCGAGTGAGGCTGTGTGCAACTTTGCCCCCCTGGCCATCAGATGTTCACTGAAGGACCTGGTCCCATATGACCTGGTAAAACTTTTTATTTTGGGCAGCAACACACATTCAACACAAATTAAGCAAATGAAAGTAAACAGAAAACTGTATATGTGTGTGTGTGTGTGTGTGTGTGTGCACAGACAAAGGGCTGGAGCAGAGAATCAAAGGTAGAATTCTGCAATGTTGTTGGTGCTGCTGCAGTGGAAATGAGAATTTTGGGCCAGGACAGAGACTCTTTGTTGGTGGATCTGAGAAAAGCTCCCATGGACCAATCCAGTGATGTGCCCATCTCCGTCAGAGATTACCTTGTGTTTATTGAGGTGGCCAGGTACATATACAGGTGCAGAAATGGGTAACCAATAAAAAGCTTTATTAGAAAACGTTTTTTTTTATATTTAATTTTTTTTAATCAATTCAACAAAATCAACAGCTGAGTGAAAATGATCAAGGATTTTCTGAATGCTTGGCGCTACGACTGAATTCTGCTAAGCTTGTTTTCTCATCGATGCTTGCAGGTTTTACTCTCCAGTGACGCTGGGCAGGAATCCTCTGCTCTACTACTCTCCTGTTCGTCCCAAGACCAACACAGAGCTCAGTGCTGTGGTCAGCCACATCAACAACCCTTCTGACTTCTACATCCAGTTGGTATGAAATCAGGGACCCTCAACGACAGAAAATCAAACCGTGGAGAAACAAGTTTTTGTGCTTTAAAATTAAATATAATTTTTTTCTTTGTATTGTCCAAAAAGAAATCTGTAGACGTTTTGATTACGATGCAAACGGTTGACACATATTTTTTCCCCAAGGTATTTTTTAAATTTATGTTTTTACCTTTTACATTTCTTTCTCCTCCCTCTGCCTCACCAGGTTGATAACATGGAGTCCTTCTTGCTCTCAGCTAAGCTTCAGGATTGTTACAATGAATTGGCAGCTTTTGGAGGTGATGAGCTGGACATCTACTGCCCTGTGGTAGAACAGGCCTGTGTTGCACGCTTTGAAGACCAGTTGTGGTACAGAGCTCAAGTCATAGGTAAAGTGTGTACTCTACATATGTCAAAGACTAAATGTATAAATACATTACTTTGTATTGTCAGTCTTAGGAAAATGAAGTACAGTAGTCCCTCGCTACTTTGCAGTTCGTTTATCGTGGACCCGCTCTATCGTGGTTTTTCAAAATAAGATTGGACATGACTGATAGATGGATGAGCCGCATGATCGTCATGAAATATTATTTTAAATAAATTACATTATTTAGCCCCTGCTGCACCTTTGTGCAGCCCATACTGCAGGATAAATTTCCTGTTGCAGCTGATCAGCTGTTCACTGTGCAGAGCAGAGAAGTGGGCGTGGCCAAGCGCATCAGGTTAGTCCATCAGTGGGAGCTCAGTAACATGGCTGCAGCATCACACACTGGACATGTGGAAATGTGTTTCCATGAGGTTTTCAAACATAAAGCTCTTTTGTGAAAGTGTACCCCAGTGAAAAGAAAGTTCATAACATTTATATTAAAGTTCATTAGTTTGATATTTATATACTGGTTGAAAATACCGTCATTTCTGTTCTTTAAGCTGCTACTTTTGTCTCACAGTTTGTACCCTGAGGTTTATATGCAGGAGCGTCTTAATTATGTACTTTTTTCATAATTTTGAAAATATACATTGTTTTATTTTGAAGGACTTCCTGCCATCTCAGTAACTTCCTGCCACTGACTAATATTTTCCTTTGACAGAGCTGGGCGCTCATGCCTCTCAGCTCCTGTGATCCTGTGATCAGCCTGTGATCGGAAGATCGCCGGTTCAAGCCCCGGTACCGACAACATCAAAAATGTGGGTGGGGTAGGTGAAGCACCCACACCTGCCCCCAGCCTCCTTCGTCCCATCCTGGGCCCTTGAGCAAGGCCCTTAACCCCCACCATCTGCTCCTCCGGGTGTCCTAGATGCAGCTCTCTGCTCCACACAGAGGCTGTGGTAGCTCGGTGGTTATGTCAGAAAGGGCATCCGGCGTAAAAATAACTGCCAAGTCTTCATGCGATCTAGTTTACTGTGGTGACCCCTAACGTAGGGTGCAGCCGAACATTCATCCATCTATCCTGATGCATGCTCAATAATCCAGGTAGAAAAATCTAAAAAAGTTAAATCTGGTCCTCTGGACATTCAAAAAAACTAAACAAAGCAAAACAACAAAAAAATGTAGAAATGTTTAGTCTCTCATCCGAGAGACTTCCTCAGTCTGAGGTGCTGTATTCAGCTCAGTCTCTTAAACAGCACCGTCTCAGAGTGGATCAACCAGTTTTGCTGCTGACAACCAAAACCAGCTGATCACATGCTCAAGAAGGACCATCAGCCTAACAATGGATCATTAACACACTGATGGCTGTTTACTGTTCACAGAGGGCTGAGTGATACTAGCAATCACAGCATTGTAAGAGGGGGACAGTTGAACCCGGAGGCTCCACCCCTGTTTAATGATGGACGATTTCTTTTCACAAAGATGGCCTCCTTTACTCCTCTCTCAAACCATCGTTCCTCTCTGTCCAGGATGTGAACATCTTCATCCCTGAAAGAGTGACCGCTGGCCTGGAGATGAGTGTAGACCTCAGAGTCCTGGCCTGATGATGTTGATCTTCTGTGCTGGGCCATCCTTTTGGCCAGTGGCTGTTTTGTTTCCCCGATGTAAGACTGATCACCCTCCTGACACTGAACAGCATACACAACATTACTCTGTTTATGCCGGGGGACTGGATCTTTGGGATGAACCAGTCTTTGCCGTAATGTATTTTGGGGTTTAAAAGCCACTGGGACGTTATGTTTAGAAAATAAACGTCTCAGTTTCTCTGATACTCCCTCAACACATGGAATGACCACTGGTCTGGGTCTGGGTTCCTCCTTTTCACCTGATGGCTGACTGAAGTCCTGTTTGGGTTTCTTCTCTGCTTTCAGGAAGGCCCAGTTAGGATATCCACATTGCTCTAGAGCCTGTCTTGTGTGGGATTTCTCCTTCTGCCTGGCTCCTGAGCTAGTGGGGACGCTGTCTGTTCTGTGATACAGAGTCCTGATGAATCCTACAGCTACAGCATGCACGCTCAGGACATTATTACCTGCAGTGTTCCCTCAGTGACCAATGCAGACATGTTCCTGTTTTTAGTTTTCTACATTCACCTTAGAATCTAGCTGTTTTTATATTACTTTTCTTTTTTAGCCATCCTATTTGTAAACAAATAAAATAAAATCTGTATGCCTTTTTTATAACTGTCCATTGTTGTCATCATTCTTTGTTGAAATCAGGTCTCTCTTGTAAATGAGTCCTCGAGGCTCAATGGGATTTACCTGTTTTAATAAAGCTTGAATGAATGCATGACTGAGGTCTGTTTGTTAAAAAGTCTAGTACCCAGTTACAAATGGAGGGACTTAGTCCTAGTGTGAATAGTTTGTCCATCAGGGTTTGGGGGATCACGGTGTTGAAGGTAGATGTGAAGTCCACAAAGAACATATGGACGTAGGAGTCCTGCTCCAGGTGGTTGAGCGCAATGTGGACCACAGAAAAGACTGCATCCTTTTGTTGATCGGTTCTCACGGTTGATGTTGATGGTTGTTTTGATG